ATTACCTGTGTTACTTAATATTTAATTTGTTTGTATTTTAACAAACTGTAAACTATTTAATTATTTTACCTGAGTTAATCAGTTCTTCATCGGTACATTCATTGGAGGTTTTTTGGATATTGGAAACTTTGACTACAGCAACTGGGTCCAATTTAGTCACTCTACCGTAAGCCATAATACTCTGTAATTTTTCTTTTTCGCCGTTGTAATTTTCTAGCAATTATTTACATTAATTAACTATTCATAACTAAAACTCATTAACTTAACTACAGAGTAGCTCAAATAGGGTAACTTGTATATAGTTATTTTCGTAATTATTGGCACCTTAATAATTTGTTTTCATTGTTTATTAACACCTCACCTGTTTTATTAGCTACATCAAGATCGAATTGCGAATAACGAAAATTTAAATAATATCAAATAGTACAAATATTTATAACAATAACAGCTATCCAATAGTTAAGAGAAAATATCCCTAAAGTGCGTTATTAAACATTGTTTATACGAAATACAAAATAACTTGGTTGTAATATCTAGACGTTCCGAAACTATCAACACAAGRACAATAATCAGTCATATCAACGTCACCCACATAAATAACATAAAACCTTAWGAACATCTTCTATGTAACCAATGCAACGAACTGCTCTCGATCAAACACATAGTCCTTGATTGCCCGTTGTATGTCAACGCAAGAAAAATCCTCAGCGAGCCTTCTTCAATGAAGGAGGCATTTGGAGAACATAACATATCCATAGCTTCTTAATCAAATCCATTGGCATCGACAAAAAAATGTAAATATTAAGCTAAATCCACGCGTACCAAATATAATGTAATATAATATAATTCTATCACTTAATCTGTAATCATGTAACATACAATCATAACTAAAGTATCAATTAATAATATTGTATCTACAATTGCAAGCTAATGACCTAGCTGTTGAAGTCTTATTCTCAATAAAAAAAAAATACTTGGCACCTATGACMRTAAACGTGCCACTTTAACTATACATTATACAAGTTACCCTACTAAATGTGACGTAATGTTTTATTAGTGCATCTATGTATTTTTCACTAATAATTTTTCTATAAATATTTTTGCGTTTACTTTGTTTTGTGCTAGGTTTGTAGGCTTCCGGTTCGTAGGCGCCAGACTCAACAATGTCTTTGAGCATCCGAGGTCTGGTCGATCGGTACCGTTTGACGGGAGCTTCGGACGGTCCGGAAACCGGACGTTGCGATGTTGTTGACGGTGGATCGCCACGGGATCTTAGCCAACCCTGCAGAGATTTCCGCTGTAACGTCGTTAAGCGACTCTCCTTGATCAAATCTACGAAAACCGTTACCAAAAAACAAGAAACTTCCAATTATTACGATGGTTACCGTGAAAATGTCAGACAGATATCATGGTTACTATTACTGATATATAGGTACACCGAATAGGTATGCGAGTTTTATGAAATCGATCGAATATATTATCAAAATATGTGATTCGATGTATTCATTTCTAAAATTGTATTAACAAATTTATTTATTCGGCCGATTTCGATAAAAATGATAGCTTTGTCAAAATCGTCGATAAAATCTAATTTCCGATAAATTATTTAAGWGATATATAACTTTRTGTGTGTCATCATTGCAGGTGTATAGTTTTAATATAAATAATTACTATACAGATAACCTGGTCAGTAATATTATTCAGACAACAATAAGAAGATAACTGAATCATCTAGTTAGCTTAGCTGTATCGTGGACTTCAAATGCCTGAAAAGAAGATACTGTTTGTATAGTCGCTTAAGGTAAAAAACTATATTATTCAAAATTATCTGGACCTGAGGGACAGAATCACCTGCGCCCTGCATGTGGACTGAGTATCTTGACTAAATTTTCAGATTTTTTAGAGCGTACATAATTTTTTATTCAAATCAGAATATTATAATATACCAAAGAGTGGTCTATTATTTAAATTAAATGTTTTATGCATTTTAACAATATTTATCTTTCATTAAATATATAACTACTATTTTACACCGTATTTTAAAATCAAAACTGCAAGTATATAATTTTAGATTCTGAGCCACGGAGCGATGAAAGTGTTGGTTTTACATTTTGATGTGTGTTTTTTAATTAAATTATTTTTTTGTCCGATGACACTATATATATTCAAAGTAAAAAAAAATGCTACGATATTTTACTTTGTATGTGTAGTTTCTGGTAGACAATTTGATCCACATAGTTTGTAGATAATATTGGGCATTTAAAGCAAAAATTCCAAGTGTTATTTTTACTCATATAGAATATGATTTATCATTGAAGTAAAATTTGCACACCCAATAACATTGACCTATAATACTTACTCATTTATGTCAGATACCTACACCTACAACTGCATGGCAGAGCTATACCTACCTTATTTGACGAATTTTATATTTTATAATTAAGTACTTGGTAGTTGGTACCTCATGTTTTATAATTTTGTATACAAATATAGATTCAATATACCTTGGCCATATATATTATATACTATATACATGTGCAAAGCAATTCTAAAATATACAGTTCTAAATGCTGTTATTGTGTAGGCACCATACGTCCATACATTATTTATWATTAATTAATAATCATTGTCTGAACTAAATTCTTTTTTCATGTCAAAATTTCGGGATGAAATGTATAGATACAGACAGTAAGTGGTTCTTATCAAAATCTCTTGAATAAAACATATTATAAAATTGAATACGTTAGGAGCTTTGTATTAAATTTTCAAATCTTAGATACAAAAGGAAATTTTTTTATGAATTTCTAGCATAAAATAATTTACGAATTTTCGTGATTTTTACATAATAT